AATAAAACAACAAAAATGTTGCCAACCAGAGATATACTATGTAATGGTGAAGAGCTTGGGTTTAGACTCTTACTATCTCAGTTTACATTATGGCTTTCTTTTTCTTGTAAAACTCAAATCACATTTCACAAGAATTTTTCTTGATCGCTTCTATGTTGGTATCATTACATCCGTATGGCTTTACGATGGCTGTTGGTCTTTGGAGCAAGTTGCTTAACTTCTCTCTGCACCAGCTGTCGAGTGGGGAGAACTATAGATTTTATCTCATATGCTTGTGGTGAGGATTAATGAGCTCACCGACATAAAGAGTAGAACAATGTTTGACACGCAAGAAGAACTGTTAGTTGGTGGTGGTGTTGCTGTTGTTATTTGTCACTGTATGGCGAATACTGCCGAAGCAGGACAAACCACCTGGACAGAAACTCTGCCCACCCATAATGTTGGCTCACAAATCGAAAACAGAAAGACCATGAAAATTCTTGAGATAGCAAGACTGCATTTCAGACTAAAAGTTGGAGTCATAAAACGTAAAAGAGTCCTCTCAAGGGCAAAATCAAAATTAGAGTGCAGATTGCAAAGAGGTGTGACCAATTAGCTGGTAATCCTAATAGGGACTCATGGTTTCCAATGTGCTTCTCTGCATGACGTGTTTGTGAATGTCACTAATTCCACTTAAAGTATAAAGGGAGGGGGGTAACAAAGAAAGTAAGAGAAATCTATTTTGTCTTCCTCCTTTTGCCAAAAATGTTCCTATGCTTTCCCACCCCCACTCTGTGCTTTGCCATTTTAAAAAATCCTTCTGGCAAAGGTCAAAAAAGCAGCCCTAATCTTTATTGTGTCACTTCCCAACATACTACTTTAAAAACCCAGCCACCTAGCAAATGTAATAAAGCAGGATTGCTTTATTATCCATAAACCATCCAAGAAACAGCTACCCAACCAGAGCATTCCAATTTGCAAAGATAACATATAATCCTGCTGCTCTGGGTGTGGCCCGGCAGAGCAGGACGGAGAGGCTGGGATTCAGAGTGCTGTCTCCAGCATCTCATGGCTTAGAATGATGACATCGGAACGGGGGTGAAGAACAGGGCGCTCCTCAGAGCTCTCTGGACTCTGAGCTCTGAAGCATCTACGTCCTCACACAGAGCCAGGTAGCTTCCTAGCAGCTCTATCTGGGTCCTTTAGGTCTCTAGGAAAGGAAGCACAGATGAACTTGAAAGAATCCATTTCATGGCATAGGGTGAGGAACAAGAGGCATGTTTTCAACAACCCTGAGAGAACGCAGCTCTCCCCTGAAGAACAGTAACTTTAGCAGTCACTTCATTATATTTCTACTGTAAATGACACAGGCTTGTGCCAAGTCAGCACCAAAATTCCCCTCAGATTTCGGTTGGGGTTAGATCATCTGCACTCTATTGACAACTGATGAATGCAAAGCCCATAACAAGCCGTCTCAGCAACAGTTTGTGTCCTGCCACGAATGAGGCTCTTTTTCCATGAATAATGAGCACGGACATCATCCCTGTTGCCAGGTACACAACATAAACAAAGCTCAACACAAGGGCCTTGGTATGGTGAATTTGTCCATTTGCAACAAAGGAATTTTTCAAAGTGTGAGCCAAGTTTTAGTGGAGGGTGGGACAGGCTGTTGTAACAAATAATGCAAACATATGTTATCAGAATCTAATAAATCAGTGGTTGGTTATTGTGGATATGAAACCGCGCAGTGGAATACGAGGAAACAGCAGAGAGCTCCAAATGAGTTCATTTCTTTATTTTTACAATCAGTCTTATAACGCAAGGCTGATGATTTGTGTAATGAACTGAGATCTTCATGAAAGCAGCCTTAGGAGACTTGTGATCCCGAAGGTTCTTTTGGTGGAGTCTTGACTTGAGGCCAGAAGAGCTTGTGGCAGCAAGACCCAGATGAGAGTGAGACCCTGGTGGTGGAGAGACTGTGGCATTGCTGTGCAGACACTGCGGCAAGGTGTGACCTGTGGCTTCTTGAATTTTGCTGGCTACAGTTAAAGGTTTGGCTGTTCTTGCTGGATGCTTGAAGGAGAAGATGACTTATAACTGCTCTGAGGCAAACCTTACCGGATGGTTTGGATGTGACTGCTGAACTGAAAACAGAGTCTGTACTAATTGAGGAATTGTCTAGCAAGTCTTAGGACAGTGTGGCTAAAACTTGGGTTTGCATTCGGTGATATTCTTTGCCTCCCCCACTCTCCAATATCTTCATCTTCACCTAATAAACCCCATTGTTGGTATGATAACTGTGAGTTTGTGGGTTGGTGAGGAATTAAAAACCCTTTTGCTCTTGATGTGACAATAGAGGCATCATGGGGCTGTGCGATGGGCTCTTTATCTGCTCTCTGCTCTGGGCAAGTGAGGGGCTGTGCTATTCTCACTCCCTCTGGCCCTTTCAGAGAGACCTTCATGTTCTTGTGACTCCTTGTCCTGTTTTCTCTTCTTTAGACATTTTGATAAGCCTGGAAGAGTACAGACTGACAATGGAGATGGGAAGATTGGAACTTTGCTTTGGTGCTCATGGCAACAGGCTGACATCTGGGAAAATGCAGGGCCGCCTGTACCCACATGCGTAAGTTCCGTTGGTACCAAAATAGCCTCAATGCATGTATATTTGCCTACAGCACAGTCTCAGGGTTCAGCCTCCCAAGGTCAGCCGCACAGAGAGACTCCAGGGCATAAACAGAGAATAAAAGTGAGCTGACATGAAGGCCAAACAGCGTGTATTTTGTTTACTCTAAAGTGTGCCACAGATACTTTTCTCTCTTTCCAAAATTGGTTCCATACTAGGTAGCATGGATCTTGTTACCGAGGGTGCCCATGTCTGCAGAGGCAGAGCAGTATTATCATTGGCTGGGGGCTTTTCCTTTCCATCAATTTAAAAAAGAATTAAAAACAAAAACAGCCTCACAATGCCTTGGTTCTCCCAACCATAGGGAGATGAAGCCCAACTAATTCCAGAGATTCTTGATGAAGAATGCATGTTAAAAATAAGTTCCAAATGGTATAAAACTCAATGCCATTGAGCTGGTTCCAACTCACGGTGATGGCCATCAGATTTCTACGGCTATAAATGTAAAGGGACTGTCCAGTTTTCTCTCACAGAGCAGCTGGTGAACTGGGACCATGGCCTCTCAATTACCAGCCTGATCCATTACACACTACACCACCAAGGTTCTTTTCTGGGTGGTATAGTCTGCTCTGTATGTTCAAGAAATTTATGGAAATTTATTGATTGAATAATTACTTAAAGCCACTATAGAAGCTTAATAGAGAGCTCTCTGGCTGAGAAGAAGCTGTATTACAATCCAAAAGGCCCAAAGTTCAAATCCACCAGCTGCTCAATGGGCAGGGAGAAGGATGGGCAATCTCCCATGTGATTTACTGCTTCTGAAAACTCATTGAAGGGTCAGCTTTGAGTCAGTTCAGACAATGGCACACCACCACCACAACAAAGACACTTACTAAAGAATGAATATAATATTTTACAAAGCAAAGAATGCAATAAATATATTTACATTCTAGCATCTACTTTCCATCCAAATCTATTCACTTCAGGAAGAAAGTTATAGAAACAAAGCAGAATAGTATGATGTTCTGAAGAGATTCTAGTAGCTAAATAATGGTAGGCAATTAGGTAGATAATTTCTGTGCAATTAATCACATAGTGAATATTACAGATGATAGCAATGAGAGCTTTTCAAATCCCTGCTCATTTATGCACCTGATTTATTAAAAACAGGAGCAATGATGGCCTGGTCCATAGGGAGTTGTACTGTAAATTCAAAAGCTGCATCTTTCAGGTGGTTCAAATCCACCAGTGGCTCTGTGGGGTGAACAATAAATGGGAAAAGTCCTCCTGTGTGATTTACAGCCTCCAAAATCTAGATGAGGGTCAGGCTAAGAGTCGATTCTGACTTGACAGCAATGAGTTGAGATGCTTAAAAGTAGGTAAAATGAAATGAGTTTGTGAGCAAGTGGTGAGACTAGCAAAGGAAACTGCAAGCTCACACTATGAAGGAGTGAGGAGTTTTGCCCATGAGAAGATGGACATGAAAGGGACACATTCTTTTTGTCAAATATTTTCTGAACTCGCATGTACGCATGGGATTCTAGCTGTTCTATATACTCTCAACATGATGTTTATGAATTAAACCATATATTCCATGTTAGGTGAAGAAGCTCTACATAGGAATATGATGCTATTTGGAGAGGGTTTACTTCTGTTATGCTAGTGAGGTGGGCTCTAAACCTAACCCCTTTTAAGTTTTATCAAGTGAATGGAATAGAATAGAGTAGAGTAGAGTAGAGTAGAGTAGAATAGAATAGAATAGAATAGAATAGAATAGAATAGAATAGAATAGAATAGAATAGAATAGAATAGAATAGAATAGAATAGAATAGAATAGGACAAACACAGGGGAGGATGGTTGTAATGTAATGATGGAGGCATCCACAAGCCCAGGAATACCAAGGATTGCCTGTAGCTACTAGAAGCTGAAGGAGAACAAAGAAAGACTTTCTTCTAGTCCTGCTGTCCTGAGTTCAAACACCCAGCCTCCTCCAGAACTCTAAGGATGTAAGTCATCGCCCTGGCATATTTTTATTGCAGTATATTAGGTAACTAAGATGATGGCCAACAGAAGTGACCACAAGTCAACAAGTACTGCTTTAACATGCTGCCCCAGCAGGGTGTGTGCTGACTGCAGAGGCTCTAAATGACCCCTGACCATGGAGGTACAGGGTACACGTGCAGAACGGCCTGAAATTGACAGGCCACAGGACCTTTCTGTTCCCTACTGATCATGGAATTTTGAGTCTACAAAATGCCATCAGAAGGCTATTGGTGGAAACCCTAAAAGATTATAACTAGAAAAGTGCTTTGCTATTTTAAATGATCCTTCCAGTCTACTCATTGATACACCAAGGAGAGAGAATATTTAAGGAGACAGGCACACCCCAAGACTTACCATCGTACTTTGCTAGGACTGCCTGGACATCAGCGTACGCCTGCAGTTCCAGGAGGGCTTCTAAAAGGTTTTCATGGATGTTGAACATACTCAGGAGAGGAAACTCCTTCATTAGCTAGGAAAGGTGAAAACAAGGAATAAGTAACAGTGACGTTGTACTTTTTTAGGTATAATAAAATACTGTAGTGTATCATTTTTATATTATAAAAGAATAATGGATTTTTTAAAAGTATAACTAATAGAAGATTATAATTATTCACACCAACTATCATTTGTAAAACAGGAAATGCATCATCCCTCCTTCCCCATCCCTGCTGCCCCTCTATTGTGGAACAATGTTAGCTTTGATTATAGCATGGGGCACTCTGGTGGCCTAAAGATAAGAAGCTGTGCTGCAATCCCAGAGGCATGTGGTTCAAATCCACCAGCAGCTCCATGGAAGAAAGATGGGCAATTTCCTCCTGTATGATTATCTGCCTCAGAAAACCTGCTGGAGAGTCAGCTATGTGTTGGTTCCAACCTGACAGCAACCACAATAAACAACACCATGGAGAAAAACTAAGAGTTTTCATGGAAACTAAAGAAGGTGCTTAGAAACAGTGCTCAATCACATCAAAATGCCAAGGAGAGGTCAACTGAGATAAACCCTGGAAGACAGACGCCCACAGGCTCTATCCTTAACCTTGTCAAGAGCAGTTTCAATGGAAGCCAGTGAGGAGGAGAGTGAGCAGGTGACACCAAACACTTTCCAGTAGCCTGGTAATGAAGGTAAGTAGAGAAAATAGAAAAGCAACTCTAAGCTGATATAATGGAGAGGAAAAAACCTACAGGCTGTGATGGGACTCGTAGAAGAAGGAATAAAAGTTTAATTCTTGCCTGGTGGCTTCAATGACACAGGAGTCAAGATCATGTTCTGAGACTGAGGAATCTGCTAGTGGGAAGTTTAAAGATAAGTGTGGAGGTGTAGAAGAGTCACTAGGGTTGAATTGCTTAGAAAACCAAACAAGGATCATTAATGCCACCAAAAGAGAAAATAAAATTGAAGGCTACTAATTTACAGCGTCTATAATTGGCAGGGAGTCTTTGAATGCCACTATTACAGCACCTAGCTCCTAACTGAAAAGGTGGAGGTTTATGTGTACCCAGAGGTGCACCAGGGAAAATAAGACATGAACTTCTATAACAGAAATATTACATTTGGATGGCTTTACCAAACAGAAATTTATTCTCCAACCACTGAGGAGGATAGAAGTCCAAATTCAAGATACCATCTAGACAGTAAGCTCTCTCTATTTGCTCTCGAGAAAGGTTGCTGTCTCCTTTCAAGCTCTGTGAGGAGGGCTTCCCTTGGAGATCTCCCTATGTTTTGGCATCAATCTGCCATTGGCTCTAGAGAGTTCTCAGTACAGAGAATCTGGAGCCAAAGGACATACTCTGTTCCTGGATGGTTTTTTCTTGGTGGTAATCACATTACCTCTTCTCTACTTACTTTTCTCTCCTTTTATTTCTAGTAAAAAAAATAAAAGGTAATGCAAGCCACACCAGAGGGAAACTTTCCTTACCTGGCTGTGACCAAGAAAGGGTACTGCATCAGACAACATCATGGAGGTGATTACATCATTACATAACTGCCAAATTACGCCATTTCATAATCATAGAATTCCTGAGAATCATGGTCATGACAACTTGACACATATTTCTGGGAGACACAATTCAATCCATGACAGCTATCGTGAGATTAAATCTAATTAATGGCAACTGGTTAAATGCGCATGGCTGCAAGTGTAAGTCAGAAGGGCACAGTAGCCCAGGTACAGTATAGAAGGCATCAAATGACTAGGCTGAGCCTAGGAAGACTGGACCTACTTCAACAAAATGTCAAGAGGACAAGAAAGTTAACAAGAATGGTCAAAGCCATTAAAAGAATAGATTATGGGTTTTATGATGTAGAGGAAGGAAGGGAAAACTATAAAGAGAGAGAATAACCATAGAACAATAGTAATTAATTCTATAAAATATAATGTATATGGATGATTGTTATGATATAAAACACAAGGTACATGAATGAAACACAACTGTGGTGTTAAAGGTTGTTTATTGTTAAAAATGGCTTTTCTAGCCACTGAATTTGGCTTTGCCATATGGATGTGTGGCAATATGTAATAGGGCATGTTAGCCTCCCCGCAAGGGGATTGGCTAGTCTTGCCACTAAATTGAGCAGATTGACCAACTGATTTGGAGAACATCCCCACCAGCAAAGAAGAAGCAATAGAATGCAATATGTCCTTTGCAGCCAGAGATTCTTGTGCCAGCCAGACCAGGACTATGGGAGCTAAAGCCATAGGAGCAGCCACAGAGAAGCAACGCGTTCTCAGAAAAAGGCAGGCAGCTCTATTTTTTTGAAAGAAGCATCAGTAAGCTATTGTGCTGGAATAAACAATACTCCAAAAACCAGGTTCTTTCACGGTCAGCAAGCAACAAGTGGACACACTGCATTAACTATGCACGTCTTCCTACATCAGAAACATTTAGCATATTGTTCTGTTTTTAAAGGCAGGAATTATTTGTTGTTAGGTGCTGTCGAATCCGACCCATCATGACCCTATGAACAACAGATCAGAACCCTGTCCTATCCTGTGCCACCCTCACACATCCTGACACATTAGAGATCATTGCAGCAATCACCATGTCAATCCACCTGTTGGAGGGTCTTCCTCTCCTTCACTGACCCTATGTCTTTCCAAAAATCATGTACCTCTCCAAGGAATAGCCCCTCCTAGCACCAAGCCTGAATTATGTGAGGTGAAGCCTCATCATCCTTGCCCCCAAAGAGCACTCTGGCTGCACCCTTTCAAAGATAAATTTGTTTAGGATGTTCAGTGCTCTTCAACAACACCACAGCTCAAAGGTATCAATACTTCTGTCATCTCAATTCATTGTCCAGCTCTCAGATGCATAGCAAGTGATTGAGGAAACCATGGCCTGAATCAGACACACCTTAGTCCTCAGACTGACATCATTACTCCTCAATAATTTGAAGAGGTCCATAACTGGAGACTTTCCTAGTAACACATCTCCTGATTTCCTGATTGTTGCTACCATGCACGTTAATTGTGGATCCAAGTGAGATGAAGTTGACAGTTTCAATTTTTTCCTCCCATCTAACATGATGTCACCTATCAGTCCAGTGGTAAGAATCTTGGTTTTCTTGATATTTGGAGATCTAGATGTCCTTACTCAATATCAACAATAGGCAATCCATATTTTAGGCTATATTCTTTGATCTTCTGCAACAAGTGCTTCAAGTTCTCGTCACTTGCCATAAGCAGGGTTGTGTGTCATATGCATAACACAGTTTACTGATGAGTCTCCCTCCAATCCACATTCCTCTTCATAGAGTTCAGCTTCTCGAACAATTTGCTCAGCATACAGATTAAATAGCTATGGAAAGAGAATACAACCCTGATGCAATCCCTTTTTCATTTTAAACCATAGAGTGTTTCCTTGATCTGGTTGCACACTTTTTTCTTATAGTCCCAAAGAGCAGCACATCACATTACCAACAATAACGTAACAAAATGACGTGTTCAGCCAGGCTGCATGTTGGAACCCCTAGAGACAGCCTGCAGAATTTTCTTTGTTTGTAAAGGACGCGAATAAGACGACCCCACATATTGTTGATGTTCTGTAACCAATAAAAGTGTTTCTTGTTCTGGTTCACTTTGTGGTTGACAACACCCTTTGATTTTTCTTCTCCCTTTCTAATTAGAGCTTGTTAGAATTAAAGCTCTCTGTCATTCAACACTTGGCAATACAATAAAGGCATTCTCTAAACTGAAACACTTGAGCATCCTTCTCAACCAATCCTTCAGGTAATAGCCAAATTGCAAGGATGCAAGTCATATTCTGTAAGTTTAAAACTACTATCCTGTATTATCAGCGTGTTGAAGCTTAAAAACGGGAAAGGATCTAAAGCCCATTGAGATGATACGAGCAAAAGGTGGAGGTGTCTGTGTCTCTACACAGACCTTAAAGGAAAATGTTGAGAGTGTGAAGAACAATATTTTCATTGGAAGTCTGGCTAAAGTCTACTATGACTAAAAGAATCATAAATTTTAAACATGGCAAAGAACAAATATAGGAGAGGTAATGGAGTTCATATGATGATTTGGAGATCTAGATTTCCTCATTTAATGCTAACAATAGGCAAACACAAACCGTCAACTGACCCTATCCCTCCAGCTCTCACCTGCCACCTCGAGTTCTTCACAAGCTACCTTAGACGGAATCTCATAACCCCCTTCCTTCCTTCTCTTCCTCATGCCAGGGCTGCAATCTTCCAGCTCCACCATCACAGTCTTCTCCTCCCATATGTACAGGTACTGAAATTGCTCCCCTGGACACCCTCCAGTCTTTTCTTGCTTGACCTCTGCACCACCTGACAGTTTATGACTTTTCCTTGGCACCTCTTGCTCTCTTGGTTTTCTCCACACCGTTCTCTTCTGGACTTCTTCCTACTTCACTCCTTCTCTGGTTTCTGCGTTGACTGCTTCTAGGAGTAAGCATCCTCCTGGGTTATACCCCTGTCCTCCTCTCACAAAGCTCTTCAGCTCTGGGGAGATGTTTGTGGCCAGGATTCCAACACCTCTATCTTGGTGGAGTTGGCTCACTTATCTTAACATCCTGTTCTGACTTCTCTCCTCAGCTATTAGACTCATTTATAAACTACATTCCTAATAGTTCACTTGTGTCCTTAAAGGTCATACCTTTAATATTGAGATCATAATCCCCCTTCCTCAAGGCAACCCTTCTTTAAGCCTGCTCCTCTTCCTGTCTTTTCTATCTCAGGGAGAAGTATCACTGACCTGTCAGCTCCCTAATTCACACTGCTCCTTCTCCACTAAAACACACAGCTGTTGATTTGGTTTTAACTCCTGGTGAACCCCTGACAAGTTTATGAGGCTGTGAATTACGCAGGAGGAGAAAGTCCATCTTCCTCCCATAGAGCCACTGGTAGAGTCAAACTATGCAAGGCAGTGTAGGTAAGCTGCAGACAGACAATACCATCAGTTGTTGTTATGTGCCATTGAGTCACTTGCAACTCATAGTGACCTT